GGGTTGATACAGTCAGTGGCACTGCCCCGGGGGGTTGATACAGTCAGTGGCACTGCCCCGGGGGGTTGATACAGTCAGTGGCACTGCCCCGGGGGGTTGATACAGTCAGGGCTGGCCAGGATTTGCTTCCACGAAGAGGAAGAGGCAAAAGTTATCCGGTCAGGTCAATATCTACAAACTACATGTATTGTACCGTGCCCAGGTTATGGTCGGTACAACACTGGTATACAAAGTTCTTCACCGTCCACTAAGTCAAAGGACAATGTTGAACCTCCAGTAAGAGAAACACCGGTGCCAATAACTCACAAATGTTGGCAAATAAACAACAGCAATGAGAAACAACAGCAATGAGAAAACACCAAGGTACGACATTTTCACTTTCAACCTCATTTTGCTGTCTATACAACAACAACAACAACAAAATTCTGAAAAAAAATTACGGAAAAAAAAAATTAATAAAAAAAATCCAGGTTTGCCGAAGACATCCTGATGCCCCATAAAATACAAGTACCAAATGACAGCCAGGAAAGATCGCTGGTACGTTACAGCAGAACCTTCAGCAATCTATAACAAAGTAACATAATACATGTAATAATAAATTGTGTAACAGAGAAATCCCCCACAGTAAAAGATAACAAATGAGGAAATGGCTACTTTCTCCACTTCACGGAACAGGTAAAACAAAAGTTTTGTAGACAAAAATGTATCAAAATAAAATATTACAATAATGTGCAATAGCGTACCCGTAACTGAAAAAGAAGGGGGATGTACCAGATGTACTTGTGACGTATCGAGAACTTGCAACACAGAAAAGTCATAGTAGAGAACTCTTCATATTATTTCTAGGAAAACAAACGGATCGATCTATCCAATAATTTTGCATCTGCGCAAATGCCCCAAGATGCAGCACGTCCAAGCCATGGCAAATGACATATATATATATACATGTAATACATCATGTGTATATACACATGTATTTATGTGAGGTATCGAGGTGAGATCAGGCGCTCGTCAAAACAATGAAATCAAAGAAATTGACTTTTTTTCCATCCATTCGACAATTTTCATCCTTTTTTTGTTTGTTTTGTTTTGGACTTGCCATCTCGTTCGTTCACCGACAAGCACATTCCTACATGGTGTCACGTGAATCCACACACAGGGAAACAATGTGGCAGTTCTAGTTGTAGTAGAGGTTTTACGGCGCTCACAACTGTATAAGGTCATATGAGCGCCAAGGGGTGGATGTTTTAGTAGAGGTTTTACGGCGCTCACAACTGCATAAGGTCATATGAGCGCCAAGGGGTGGATGTCAACAGAGAAGTCCTTACAGGGAATCAGACTTACTCTGCTCACCTCTCTAGCTTCAACAGCATGAAGTCTGCTTCGACTATCAAGGCACCCCAGAAATAGCAGGTCACAAGAGAGTGACAAACATACAAAAAAGTACATGTAGAGGAAAATAACAATAGTAAAGATTAGGACAGAAAAAGAAGCAGTTCTTCGTATGCAGTTCCGGCACAGTTATGAGTATGACATTGATGAATCAGCCCATTTACAACTCTACTGTGCATAAGAGCAGGTAAATATTCGCCCTTTGGGAATGGCATAAGACAACTTCAGCCAGTAGCACTGCCCCGGGGGGGGGGGGTAACAATCTGTCAGATGAGGAGACCAATGTCTGTGTTTTCTGGAGTGAAAGGACGGTAGACAACCCATCAGTGGTAGACATCAGTGGTAGACAACACGTCAGTGGTAGACATCAGTGGTAGACAACACGTCAGTGGTAGACATCAGTGGTAGACAACACGTCAGTGGTAGACATCAGTGGTAAACATCAGTGGTAGACAACACGTCAGTGGTAGACATCAGTGGTAGAGAACACGTCAGTGGTAGACAACACATCAGTGGTAGACAACACGTCAGTGGTAGACAACACATCAGTGGTAGACAACACATCAGTGGTAGACAACACGTCAGTGGTAGACAACAGTGGTAGACAACAGTGGTAGACAACAGTGGTAGACAACCCGTCAGGGGTCTTTGAGACTTCCAACAATCTACCGTCGAGCCTGCTCTAACAGCCACCTGTACAAACGGCCCCCTGTATAAGACAATCACCTGTACAAGACAATCACCTGTACAAACGGCCAACTGTATAAGACAATCACCTGTACAAACGACCACCTGTATAAGACAATCACCTGTACAAACGGCCACTGTATAAGACAATCAACTGTACAAACGACCACCTGTATAAGACAATCACCTGTACAAACGACCACCTGTATAAGACAATCACCTGTACAAGACACCTATATAAGACAATCACCTGTCCAAACGACCACCTGTATAAGACAATCACCTGTACAAGACACCTATATAAGACAATCACCTGTACAAACGACCACTTGTATCAGACAACTGCCTGTACAAACGACCACCTGTATAAGACAATCACCTGTACAAGACAATCACCTGTACAAGACACCTGCATAAGACAATCACCTGTACTGACGGCTACTTCCCATCCCACCTTGCGTATGTTTTACAATATCTCCCCGACACTGGGTGACCGTCTTTGACAATTTCGACTCTCGTCTGAAACAAAGATTTCCACAATTCCTTTTCCCAACCACTCACATTCAGACCACAATATCTGTGGCACACAAGCGAACCCGCAGTTCAAAACCTAAATAAACATGATGATCTCTCCCGGTGTTTCTTTATACTTTTCACAGTCTCGGTCTTCCTCTGCTACTGTCTCCTTCTTGAACGGGCTCTACCCTTTAGACGCACCTATATATGTCCAACGAACGTCCCTCCGTATCTGAGTACGTTCACACTTCAATGTAATAGGAAAAGTTGCTGATATGAATTATGTCTAAGACACAGCGCAGAAGCAAACATACCTACAGTCAAACACGAGTAACGAGTAATTCGTCAGGGACTGGAAATAGTGTTCGAAATGTTCGTAAATCGTCATGCTCGTGAAAGACGCAAATACAAAGACATTAAATAGAGAAAAAAGCAAAGGAGGTAAAAAAAGAACATTAAAACAATTAACGTGGTTAGCTCCCTTGTTGAGCGTGTTGGCGGTGTGAAAGCAAGAAGAAGAATGAAAGCGGAAAGAGGGAAATCTCACGTGTGTGCACAGCCCACTCCTAGATCTACCTCATTCCTTTCCTCTTATTTTACTGGCTTACAGAAAGTTATGCCTGTTGCCATTCGCATCGCGTGCGTCCCACAGCATGACTGCACACGCGGCGAGCCAATCATGCGGAGCGGTCAGCATCACTACCCAGCCCCCGGCCCCTCCCCCCCCTCCCTCCAGCCTCTGGTGGTGAGACAAGGACCACGTTTTGGCTGTAACAATAACAAAGAAACACCTACCCGTGAACAGAAAGGCTGTAAAGCCGGGTCTATACGTGAAAATGCCAAGTGGATTTGTTCGAGATTTGAGTGATGCGTGTTCCGAGTGTTCTGGAACTCAGTGAAATCAACACAAAGAAAACATCGAGACTGAAACGGGACCGAGCATTATGTTCGAGATACCCGAGAATTCATGATTTTCGAGTTCGAGATTTGTGGACTCTACTGTATTTGCCTGGACAAGAGCAGCCATTTTTAAACAATCCAGGGTGATCTCTATAGTCTACAGTGATACATGGCACTTTCATAAGCTGCTGAGTATTATTTGTTCAGTACAGCAGAGGAAAGTTTTCAGTTGTCCAACTTGACTCAGTGAAACGACAGACAAAGTCTTTCAGTCACGTCGTCTCTCCTCACATCTACGTGGCCACTTGGTCCGGACAGAAGATCTCATCGTTGAGGCGCACAAGCTCCTTGAGAAATCCCTCATTGGGGAAGATCTCTCTCTTTGCTCGGACCGTCTGCACCGCCTCCATCAGTCCCAGATTTCTCTTTAGCATGAGGAACGCCAGAACGACAGACGCCGATCTGGACACACCCTGCTGGCAGTGCACGTACACCACACCTGGACACAGAGAGAGAGAGAGAGAGAGAGAGAGAGAAACATATTAAAGATATAGAGAGAGACAGGCAGAAGCTGGATAAATAGAGCAAGACATACAAAAACTAAATATAGAACAAGACATACAAAAACTGAAGATATAGAGAGACGAACATATCAAATATAACATGTATTTCAATCACTCTTTTTCAATGACGAAGGCTGATGTCTAAATATAGTGCAGTCGTTAGGCACTTTGCTGTTGCATGCAGGAAACCTGAGTTCGACAAAGTTTTATCAAGTAACTGTCTTTCTGCTGGGATGTTGTATCCTCCTCAGCCCGGGTGGGCCCTGACAGACAGGGTCAGAAGTCTGCCTTCTAAAGGATCTAAATTGTGTCAATGGGGGAGTAAGAACACACTTTAAATAATAAAAAAAACAAATTTTAAATAATAAACAAAACAAATTTTAAAAAACGAGTAAAGTGCTGCATTTAAATAATTCTTTTTAAAAGCTATTTGTATTAGTTGCTTTAGTGTAAAAATCAGCAATGAGTTAGGGACATTTACTACATCCAATACAATGACAGTATCTAAGCTGTATTATCTACTCTTTAAAAGATCAGAACAGTCTAGCATGCACCTACCAAAATCGGTGGGATCTGGAAATCTTTTGTTATCTAAATGTATGAATTTTGCCATGTTCACGGTTTACATTAAACAGAAAGAACATAATCTATTATCTATTTGTGGTGGCTGAATTTTGCTATCCAAAAGGCTTTTTAATGGCTGCATCGATCGACATGCGGTTTTCGCCAAAAAATTCTTTAAAATATTCTCCAGATCATGACGCCCTTGGTTTTTTAAAGTTTTGAGACAGTTGTACTCCAAAAAGCTAAATTTTTTTTTTCGCAGATCGCTTTTGTTGGCCGACGCTTCTGTTTCTGTAATTTTAGAAAATCCGGAAGTGATATTTCGCGAGGCGCATTTTGTTTTAAGAGTTTTGATCTAGACCTTCTCATTTTTTGCATCTCTCAAGATTTATTTCCCCATTCCAGTAGAGTGTAAATATAGTAGGCCAATGACTTTTAGTTTATATTAAAGCACCGATCATCCCTTTCATTGAAAGGGGGCCTAGCTAGTAATATATATAATATGTATTTTTGAAAACAATGTGGACCTGAGAATCAGTTCTATACGGGCATCATGTTTCGGTGTATGACTGTATATGTGTTAGAACGTACAGTATACCACGGATAGCTCGAATTCGTCAGGACCGGCCTCGGTAGTTCGAGGGATATCTTACTTCATCACAACAGAAGAAAAAAACAAAACATGATGCCCCAAAAAGTGTCAGATCCCCGGTCAGTGAAGCTGTACACTGAACAAACATTTTCCATGACAGATCTAGGAAGAATAAAGACAGGGATGGGTGCAGCAAAGCCCAGTTCCTACATTATACTCCATGCACACAAAAATCATACCAACTTTCTATTCCTCCATTTCACAGACTCACACACTTACATACAACTTCCCTTCACCAGAACCTGAGTACTCACCCTTATTACTGAGAGCGTCTTCAATAAACTCTGCGGCCGGTGAGAGATATGGAGTCAGTTTGAATGATATAACATCCATGGCCGGGATCCCGTGGAACTGTATGTTGTACCAGTCATAGTACACAGAATCTGTATTGACTTGGTTAAACTTTGGGCCCATGCTCACATTGACAACGTGGGTGACGCCGATCTGCTGAAGCTTCTCCGGCTCTTTGGCCATCCGGCTGAGATGGAAAGAGAAAGGAAAGCAGTTAAAATACTGTCTAAGACGGTCACTCAATGTCGGGAGAAAATAGGCTTAAATTACAGAAGGGCTATGAAGGACGGTGGAGAAAACAGTTGGATGGGTGACCCGTTGACCGGTTGAGATTCACAGATTCAAATCTCAAACTGCGTCAGGAGAGACAGGGAGATAAAACAAATCATTCGGCTCAAAGAGAGATTTAATTTAATTGTACAGAAACTGCCACAGTTCTATATTTTGCATTCTTTTCTTTTTTTCCAGAAAAAAAAAATTATTCTCATCTTTTCCATGATGTAAGTAAATTCTGTGTGTATGATGGACACACCAAATCAAGCCAAGATGTTGGCATATAATATAGGCATAGAAATGACATGGATTGGACATACTCTCAGGAAGTCAGGCGGCTGCATAACAGAGAAAGTTTTGGATTGGAACCCACAGGGCAAGAGATCAAGGGGAAGACCTCGTGGAACCTGGAGAAGAATCACAGAAATCAATGTACAAGAAAGTGGGAGGACATGGAATAACATCAAGAGGCTAGCCCAGGATAGAGGAAGGTGGAGGGTGTTTGTCCGTGGCCTATACACCCTGGTGCAGGTGAGAAAGGCAATAATGATGATGATGATAGAAATGACAAAACCGTCAGAGAGGGATTTCATCTAAAAGTATATATATAAATTACACATTTTCAAAGCTGAATCCAACAGTCACTTACCCATTCCCTATAAATATCCCGGGGTACACCTCATCACACGGGTTCTTCGGCTCCATTGGGAACTGGAACAAGGAAAAGCTCCCAGGAGGCACCGCCTTGACCTTCTTAGAGCTGGCGTCATCGTTGGAGCTCTGTAAGAATTCCTTCACCTCAAAAAACAACTTCAAGTTCACCGGGGTCTGAGTCATGGCTCAACTTTTGTCGCACCAACTGTTTCCTGACAAAATGCGGAAAAATGAGAACGAATCATAAGATAATTGGAAAAAAACAAAAAAAGGTTAAGAAATATCTTCATATATTTTGTCAATTTATGCATAACTTAATTTCTAGTCCAATTTCTCCTCTATGGCCACCCATTGTGGAGAAGAAAATGGCTGTCTTAGAGATCAGGGGCGTCTTATACACAGTGTAAATAACATAAATCATAAATGCAAGGATATTGGGAAGTTTGTACAGGTGATTGTCTTTACAGGCGGCCGTTAGAGCAAAGGTCGATTTATTCCAACCGGCCCATCAGTAGCTATAGAGATTCTGCAGAGCAGTAAACACACAGAAAAAGGCAATTGAAGTCTGTGTCAAGGCATTTCAGAGTTTATATTTTAGATTTACGACGCAATGTGTTTTTAATAAACTCATCAATATCGCCCTTTTCCCCATTGAATACAGACATTTTGGAATTTCTCTCTCTACAAGATGATGAGAATGTTATACTTTAGATTACTTGTACAAGTACTTACCATACACTCAAAATATAAAAATTATAAATATTCTTTCACATCATCTGCTCCTACTCCTAGTGGTCATCATGATGAAGATATTAAAAGAATAGACCTAGCATTCCTAAAGTCTAAAGTGTAAGCTTGACAAGTAGATACGGTAGTGAAACGACAAAAAATTTCTTAAAACTAGATCTAGGTAGCAGACTACTGAGCAGAAAGAACTTATAGGGACTCTAACGTAGCGAACTGTAATTCAGTTAAATATAGATCTATCAGATTATAATTAGATCTAAAATCTAATATCTAGGCCTAGAACCTCATCTAGAATCTAGATCTAGATCTAGATCTAGATCTATACAAAAACGGAGGGCTCATGCTCAGTCTCAGTCAACAAGAAAGTATTCATTTCCTTGTAATTACTTGTAGATTAGTAGTCGTACTAGATCTAGATCTAGATCTAGATCTAGATCTAGATCTATCAACAAACGCAGCGAGGTGGATCATGTGGAATTTCTTAGATCATAGTAATCATAGTATCTCTTGATCAAAATGCAATATAATTAGAATCTAGGGTTTTATTGGCTTCTAAAGAACTCACACACCTTAGATGAAGAATTCAGCGTGCTTGTTTACAAAGTACAGCGTCTCTCTCAACTGACGTTGTCAAGTTAACTGTTTACATTTTTATACTTTTCAAAACAAACCGGTGACTGGTCGTCTGTTCTAAATATAGAGCTCCAGTCAGTCAATACGGTGTCGCAGTAATAAAGTCTCCCATTTCCTGGAGACTCCATACCAGGAACAGGACATGAGGCAACACCAAGCCTTATAAGGCAGTGTACCAAACAGGTTAAGGTAATCACTTTGGCATAACAATAGGATGTCCTTATATGTACACTGTGTCCTTCAGATCGATGTCCCTTGTACTTTGTTAGATAACCAAGGTGGAAACAAGAGAAAACCAGATTGATCAAGAAACGTGAAAGAGACCGGTGAGGTCCATAGAATCTGTTTAATATATACCATAAATCTACCTGTTTAACAAATAAATATATATATATTATACAAGTATATATATATAAAGAGA